ACATTGGAGGAGCATCTAGACCACCTACGTACTGTATTCAAGGTACTAAGGGAAAATGAGTTGTATGTCAAAAGGGAGAAGTGCTCTTTTGCAAAAGAGGAAGTACTCTTCCTAGGACATAAGATTAAGGAAGAAAGGTTGATGATGGATGAAGCCAAAGTCAAAGCTATCTCGGAATGGGAAGAGCCAACCAAGGTACTTGAGTTTCGCTCTTTTCTTGGATTAGTCAATTACTATCGACGCTTCATCCGTGACTACTCGAAGAAGGTGACCCCTCTCACCGACTTGTTGAAGAAAAACAAGAGATGGGAGTGGAGTGATCGATGCCAAAAGGCTTTCGAAGAGTTAAAGCAAGTCTGTCATTGAGGAGCGGTGTTGAGCTTGGCCGACCCAACCAAGCCTTATGAGGTACACACCGATGCTTCGATTTTGCTATAGGTGGTGTATTGATGCGAAACAACATCCTATAGCTTACGAGAGTCAAAAGCTAAATGACACCGAACGACGATATTCGGTGCAAGAGAAGGAGATGACCGTAGTGGTGCATTGCTTACGCACTTGGAGACACTACTTGCTCGGGTCTCGATTTGTGGTGAAGACGGACAACGTAGCCACTAGCTACTTTCAAACTCAAAAGAAGTTGATGCCGAAGCAAGCTTGATGGCAAGACTTTCTTACCGAATTTGATTATATCTTTGAGTACAAGTCAAGCAAGACCAATGTGGTGGCCGATGCACTTAGTAGAAAGGCTGAGTTGCATCATATATCGAAGATGGATGGAGAGATCGTGGCCGGAATCAAGGAAGGAGTGGAGCATGATCCCATCGCCAAGAGTTTGTTGAGCCTTGCAAAGGAGGGCAAAACTCAAAAATTTTGGGAGGAGAATGGCATTCTCTACACAAAAGGGAGGATGATTTATGTACCTAAGTGGGGAAACATCAGACGAGATTTGATGAAGGAATGCCATGACTCGATGTGGGTTGGACATCCGGGACAACAACGCACTAGAGCCTTGCTTGGAGGGAGCATACTTTTGGCCACGGTTGTGCGATGATATGGAGTCCTATGTGAGGACATGTTTGGTATGCCGACGAAGACAAAGTTGAAAATCGAGTGCACGGAGGTTTATTGCAACCTTTGCCTATCGCGGAGAGACCATGGGAGAAAATCACCATGGATTACATAGTGGCTTTGCCAAAATCGAAGAACTTTGGGAGCATTATCGTGGTCGGGGACAAGTTCTCCAAGTGCACTTTCATACCGGCCCCGGCGATGTGACGGCCGAGAACACCGTTAAGCTACTCTTCGAGCATGTGGTGAAGTATTGGGGTGTGCCGCGACATATAATCGGTGATCGAGATCCTCGACTTCATTGGGAAACTATGGACGGAGTTATTTGAGTTGCTAGGCTCGAAGCTCCATTACTCCATAAGTTTTCACCCTCGGACGGATGGGCGGACCAAGAGGGTTAATGCCTTGTTGGAGACATACTTGAGGCACTTTGTGAGTGCCAACCGGCGAGATTGGGCTAAATTGCTAGATGTTGCCCAATTCTCTTACAACTTACAAAAGAGTGAGTCTGCGGCAAGAGTCCATTTGAGATTGTGACGGGCCGGCGGCCTCTCACTCCACATACGATGGCGCTTAGTGACAAGTACCAAGGAAGCGACCCGAGTGCCTATTTGTTGGCCGAAGAATGGCGGGAGCGAGGCGGACTTGACGCGAGTGTATTTGAACAAGGTGCGCAAAAAGATGAAGAAGTGGGGCGACAAGAGACGAAGAGATGTCACCTTCCGACCCGGTGATAAGGTGATGCTGAAGTTGTTACCACAACAACATAAGGCATTTCGAAAGGTGCACAAAGGCCTCGTACGACGATATGAAGGACCATTTGAAGTTGTGCACAAGGTGGGAGAGGTGTCCTATCGCCTAGAGTTACCACCGAAGCTGAAAATCCATCCGGTATTTCATGTTAGTATACTAAAATCATACCATATGGATGAGGAGGATCCAAGTCGAGGAGTTTCTCATAGGGCGCCTACGGCGGTGGTTGACTCGTATGACAAAGAAATTGATGTCATACTTGACGACCAGTATAGTTAGACGCCGTGGAGTGCCATCGAGGAAGGAGTACTATGTGAAATGGAAGGGATTACACGATAGCGAGGCTAGTTGGGAACCCGCTGAAGCCTTGTAGCAATTCTCACGGAAGGTCGAAGAGTATAATGAAGGCGCGCGAGGACGTCGCCGAATTAGGTGGGGGAGAGTGTCACGCTCCGCCTAAAAGAGGGATTTTTCTAGAGATTCTAGAGAACAAAAGACAAGTCCGGAAGCTTCAGAAGAGTATGGAACAATGGAGAAGCCTCTAGATAAGTTTGGAAGCTTCAGAAGAGTATGGAGCAAAGAGAAGCCTCTAGATAAGGCTGGAAGCTTAGAAGAATATGGAGCATTGGAGAAGTCTACAGGATGATCTAGAGAATTCTAGAGAGTCCCTCACTAATTTAACATGTACATATCTAGATAGTTCCATGTAAATATCTAGGTAGGATATTTCTAAAGAAATAATTGTAGCCATTAGATTAAATAGATCCTAGCCATTCATTGAGGAGGTGGAAGGCTATAAATAGGTGAGGCCTTCACTTGGCCAAGACACCTAGACATTCATAAACTTAAGAGAGTGTGTCTTTAGAGTTGTAAGCTTTTAGAAAGCAATACAAAGAGTATTTTATATCTCTTGTGTGTGTCTTTCTTGATTAGCAACTTTGTATGAGGAAGTCGACTTGGTTTGTCTTAAAGAAGAAGAGAGCCAAGTGCCGCACGTGAGCTTGGGAAAGGCCAAATCCGTGACGGTTGCTTGCCTTAGACTCTTACCTTGAGATGGATGGGATAATTAAGTCATCGACAATTGCTCTTTTTTTAGGTTTTTTTTTATGTATTCCGGATCCAAAAACTAGATTTTCGGATGTACAAAATAGGAACAATTGCTTTTTGAAATGTCATTAACAACAACCTTGTGTTTGCTTTTCGGCAAAAAAAAAAAACATTGGTGCTTGTTGCTTCATAAAGTTTCGAGTCAAATATGGACATGACAACCACGGAAAAGCAAACCCGAAATACCTCCAGAATCTAGGTCATCAAATTCAAGTTGTTCCATCAATTTGGTCTCTTCTTTTACTCATTTGAATATTTGAATTAAGAATATCATTTAATCAAGTGTTAAGGGCAAGAATATGAACTTGAAAACGGAAATTACAATAATTTTCGAATTGGTTTGACGCAAAATAGTAGAGGAAATAATATATTAAGTGGAAGGTGGCAATATTTAAGTGAGAACAACTTGCAAGAAATTGCAATTCATTACATGGTGTGCTCATGGTAGAGTTGGCATCCATAGCCTTAGAGCATTGACCTTAATAATAGAGCACCATTGTCTATCCAAACCCACCCTCTCAATCTTCTCCTTCTTCTTACACCACTTTACTTTTCAAATAATTAAAAAAATAAATGTATGGATTCTAAACTTTCTCATTTCCCTCACTACTTTATGGAAGTTCGAAGAATACTTTCAAAAAACGTTCAAATCTTTTATGATTATAACTCATTTTTCATCTATTAAAGATTATGCACACATGACTGATTTCAATTACAATATTACGGACATGATCTCGAATGGGATGTCTATTATCACACACACAAAATGCTCGGTTTCAATGAACTTTCTCTATTTGGTAGGCGTGTTTGAGGTTAAGGAATCTTCCTTGTATTATGATGAAACAATTCTCCATATTACATTGATCTAATTTGCTTCTTCTTTTACTATTTCCTCGTAATTAATTCTCTAACTCAAAGTTCAAACCATATTATACCAAGAGTAAGCCACGCTTAACCATAACTCCTAGTAAATCAAAATAGAAGAATAATCTATAAAAATGAATACAAAAAGAGAGAGATCAATGATTCTTTTATAAAATAAAAAAAAATGGTAAAAGAAAACTAAATCTAAAAAAAAATTAGAAGAACGAAGAAAATGAATAAGAAGGTTTTGGGGCTAGCATGGCAATCCAAAAAGATAAAAGGACGAATTTTTTTTTAATAAGAGAGATGATATTGTTTTTAATTTATTTTTTTAACTAATAAAATGTCTAAGATAAATATGATAAGCTCTTTAATGTAATGAAATTATTTTTTAACAATTATGAAAAGAATGACCTTGATGAAAAATCTCTTTTAGTGAAAAATTTCTTTTATTTGAGAATTAAGTTCCAAAATAACTCATTTAAGGAATAAATATTTAAAAGTGTATTGATTTAGAAAAAAAAATCAAGAAATTACTTCTATTTGTCAATTATATTTCAGGGCGTTGTGACGCGTTGCTATTGGAGCAAAAATTTGGAGAGGGAGACGAGTCGTTTGAGTTAGAAGAAGGGCCATGCAACAAAGACCCACGACCAGACTTAAGCGAGAGGCCCCAGATTGAACCTAGCTTCAATGGTTGTTTTTTTTTCTTTTTAATATACATATAGATTATTTAATTCGAGTAAATTATAAATTATTTAGTTTCTTAAGTAGTATTGATTTTACTTAATTAAATATTAATTTTTTTAAAAAAAAAGGTCATATGCTCTCATGAATTCTTTCATATTTTTACTTAATTTTTTCCTTTATTCTATTTCTTAAAATAAATTGAAAAGAAGAAAAATGAATAAGATATGAAAAAATTTAAAAATATAGAAACCAAATAATTAATTTTTGAAATAAAAAAAACTATTTAATTTGTTTCTCACAACCAGAGGAAATAATTCTTGTAGTAGGATTAATCCTATTTAATCCGGATTAGCAAATCCAATTTCCAACAGGAATCCGATTGGCTTGCTGATTAATACTACCAGCCTATTTCAGAACCTCCAAGGTTCCAAAGCATCCATTAGAAGAAAACAAAGGCACAAAGCATCTACGTACAAATGTCTCTCAAAAAGTCTGTCCATGCTGTCAAAAAACTCATGCTCTTCAAGAATAACAAAGTATCCCATTCACCATCATGGGAGCTTCTTTCTCTAGTGACTCACCATCTAGACCTTAAAACCCTAGCTATTGCTTCTTGTGTGTCCAAATCATGGTTGGATTCCTTCTCCTCTGAGGATATTTGGCAGCCCATATGTTCTGCTGAACACCCTTCTGCATATAGCCTTAAAGACATAGACCCGACTGTTCCTTATCACCGCCTATATGTTATTGCCTACACGGCGGCATCCAAGCTACAGCTGCGAAAGCCAGTAAAACCCCATCTGTCCCTCAATGACCTCCTCTTCATCGTACGTCAATGCAAAAACTGAAGAATCTTCCACTTTATTCACCCTATCAAAACCATGCAATGAACTCGAGGTTGATCCTAATGGGATATTCAAGTTCCCTGTCGACACCGATTTTGAGTCGTTGTTGAAAAAAGAAGAGATATAAGGGATAAAAGTTACATGGAACATTGTGTTAAAAGGTTGGAGAGCTATATTTAATATGATGGAATCGTGTAATGCAAAGGTTAGCTTTGTTCCAGACGCAGAAGACTTGTTTTCCAAGGAGATTCCACTACCGGAATGTTGCTCAAATATTGTCACTTCCAGCAGCATTGTTGCTGAGATAAAGCTAGGATTTTGCAAGGAGAATGTTGGTGATGAGGATAGCAAGGATGACAGCAAGTTCAGAAAAGGAAAGTTGAGTGTGGCTATAATGAATACACAAGATTTGAGGTACTAAGTATGGATGATGCTATCAGACATTTGCAACACTTTTTGCTGCCTCCCTATGATGCTTAAATCGTTTTCGTCACTTTGCTTATCACTTCTGTGAATCTTTTGTATCAAACCTAAAATTGTATCAAAACTTATGTGAATGCTATCCAATTATCCTCAATATTTTTTTAATACAAATAATATTTATAAATTTATGAAAAATTAAATATATAAAATCTTTGCGATACGATATATTGTTTTACCTAAACATAATTTGTCCGATAGTGTAATTAATTTTTTTTTAAAGCAAAAGAAATTATTATTGTAATTATAACAAAAGTAATTATAGGACGGGTCCATATAATTAGGTTAGTTAGTTACTTCTGTTAATCAGTTACTGTTAGAATATTTTGGAGTGTTGTGGCACGCTGCTATTGGAGCAAAAATTAGGAGGGGGAGACGAGTCGTTTGACTTAGGAGAAGTGTCAAACAACACAGACCCCCAACCAGGCTTAGCTGGGTCTTTCTTCTCATATATAAATCATTTAATTCTTGTTAGAAACTGCGACTAAAGCATAAATTAGTCCCTTTATTTTTTAAAAAATAAATTAATTAGTCTCTTTTATTTAAAAACTAATATTTAATCTATTGATTAGCGTTGATAATGTTTATTTAATATTATTTTATTTCAAAAAAATCATCTTTTTTAATCAATCCTTTTATATTTGTTGCTTGTTTCTTTTTTCTATTTCTTAAATAAAAAAATTAAAATAAATTTAAAATGAACCAAAATGATTAAATTACAAGAATATTTAAAAATATAAGTACTAATTAAAAATAAGAGAGACTAATTAATTTTTTCGAAACTAAAGGAATTAATTTATAATTCACTCAAATTATTTAAATATTGATATTAGACGCTGGAAATAATAATAATAATAATAACAACAACGCATAAAATTGCTTCATTGTGTTGTAATAATATTGCATAATTGTATCGAGGGAATTCAACGATGCAGCAAAGTCGAGTATAACTATACTTGTAATGAAACAATTTTGTAAGATAACTTATATCATTAGGAAAAAATAACAATAAATATAAAATTAATTTTGACCGTTAAATTATATATTTTACTAGCATAATTATGATTTTTTTTTTTTGCTAAAACCAATAAAAGTAATTAATTGAGAAAGAGATAATAGTACATCATTTTAATGAATACATTAAAATATAACAATCCTCCAAATAAATAGTTTGTAACTAGAGAAGAAGATAACAAAATGTACAATAAAATTTTAATCATTTTCTCCATAAGATTTTTTTTTTTTGGCGTTCCTACTATAAATGAAGCAAGTTCACACAATTAATACAATTATCACATCCACCATTTTGATACGACGAACCATTCAACTTCATTTTTTGTTTATTATAAATGCAATCGAATGCATTTTATTTTATTTTATTTTTTTACCAAACAGCTACTAATGGATTGGCTCCAATCCATGGCCTTCGGTTGGGGATCACTCCGGCATCGATTCTCTTCACTACAACCTCTTTTTGATATGGATTTGCAGGCACTGGTACACAAAAGGAATACTTTTTTCCATCGCAGTTTTTACATAAATTAAAAAAAATTAATTATTATGTTAAATCAGGATTTTTTATTTCTATTTTTTGTGAAATATTTCTTTGTATAATATTATTTTAACAATCTTTTACAAAATGAAATTTAATTAGGAGATTTCAGCAAAATATATAACTTAAAAGCATTTTGAGTTAAATATAAACAAAAAAAAAAACAATTCTTTTGAGATGCAGGAAGTATAAATTTATTTCTGATCAAAATAACTAACTTTTTCCCACGTAAGTACCAATTAATATGATAAATATTTTTATGCCGCAAAGCATGCATGTCTTTAAAAGTTTTAATAAATTAATCTTAATTTTAACATCAAATAAAGTAAAAAAATAAAAAGATTAAACTTAGTGTCGGAAGAATCGTGCTAGAGAATAATATAAATTACATTCTCGGACCTTACATAACGAGTTTAAGTTTTTAAGTGATATAATCCTTTGACATGGTATCGAGTCTTGATTACGTCAGCTATCCGATGTCGGACGGAACTCCCGAAAAAATATTCCTAAATAATTTCAAAGTTCGTTCTTTACAAGTCCTAATCCATGTTTGGATTTTTTATGATTCGCTTTGGAGATATGAATTATTTAGGAGTCGTCACCGAATATTTGAAAAACTAGAAACCTAAAATAGATACTAGTTCGGCGATTCTAATGTAAAGAGTTGGTTACGTTTTTTGAAAGATTTTAATCACCCAAATCATGTCTGGTTTAGTTCTAAAATTTATCTTCTAAAAGAATTCTATTTTTTGTCGAAAATTAATCCTTCTCTTTTTTTTATTTCAAAACTAAGTTTTTTATTTTTATTTGTAATATCATATTGAATTAATCATCGGACTCCTCCTCCGTCGAGAGATACGTCAATTCAAACATCGGATTTACTTTTTGAGTCTCGACACTACCGGTGGTCGGAGAATGTCCTAATTATAGAAAATTTTTATTTTTTGTTAATAACAATTCCTATCATATAAGAGACTTGGTTAAAGGTTTTATGATTTTTTATATTTTATTTTTTTAATTTAAATTTTTTAAATACAAGTTATTTGTATTTGGTGGAAGATCGGCATCAATTCTTAAAAAATTAAGAGACTTGATAATCCTTCATCTAGTAATTACCAAGTCTAATTACTAGATAAATAAATTAAAGTTACATTAATTAAGCAAATTAAAGAAAGCTCGGATACTAAAATTTAAATTAATAATAAACATACATAAATTATATTCAAGATTAAAATTACATTAATTAAAATAATTACGTATAATTCAAAAATTTAAATTAACTATGAAATAACAAACATACATAAAATTTAAAATTAAAACTACAACACACTTTTTTTTTCGGTTCGGGCTGGAATGGAAGTCCAGCCCAAATGTTTTCTCTTTTTAGGACTGGGCTGAAGTGAAATCAGTCCAGCCCAATTGTACATGGGTTGAGCTAATCCCAACGCACATCACTTTAATAAATCCAAGCCCAAAAACAAAACTCAACTCCATTTTTAGAACAAAATTGGATCAAAATCCTTTTCCTTTACTTTCTCTCCTTCCCCACCCGTTCTCTCTCTTTTTCTCTCTCTTTCTTTTCTTCTTCTTCTTCGTCCTTGTCATCTCCCAAATCTCTCTCTCACCATGGCTGGTTCGTCCATCTCTCTCTTCCTCTCCCCTTATCTTTTTTTTCTCCTTCCTTTCTTCGTCTTCCTCTTTGCCGAATCCTCTCTCTCTTTTCCTTTTTTTTCTTCCTTCTTCTTCCTTTCTCACTCCTCCCGAACCTACCATGGACGAACCAGAACTGGTTCGTCCATTCTCCCCCTCTTCTTTCCTTCTTTTCTCTTCCCTTCCTCCTCTTCTCCAATCAAAAACCCCCAAATCGATTTTTCAAAATTCTTCCCCAATTTTGGCCGAACCCTAAGTTTTCAATTCTTCAAAATTTTCTTTCAATTGGTCTTAATTTCTATTCCCTAACCCAATTTCAAAAGATCCCCAAATTTCGAAACAAAACCTAAATTGAAAGTAAATCCGAAATTAAGAAAATTTTAGTTTTGGTGGTGGAAGTTGTTCTGAAGCTGATGCTGTGCAGTTGTCAAAATTATTTACATTACTCAGTCTGAAGGATAAATTGATTTTCTCTACATGTGTATGTGCATATGTAAGATTTCTATTTTGAAGTAATGAAAATCTAATTTCTACTAACTGTGATGAGAGAAAAAAAAAAAAAAAAGTGCATCATCTGCTAAGTTGATGAAGGAATATATAACAACCAAATGTGCTTCATCAATTTATTTACAACTCAAACCACGACAGCAATAAATTAAAGCTACAAAGAAAGACATAAACAGCTAGCTAAGAAAATTAAGGTACGAGAAATTAAACAAAGCAGACACATCCAGCCTTAAGCTAATCTCTGGGAGTAACAACTGTTGTAGAAGATCTGAGCTAACAGGACTCGCCAAAGCAAAGACCAAATCATCGGCAAATTATGTGGCTAGCAAATAAATTGCACAGCATGATGCAAAGCAAACATCAAGAACAAATCCAGGAATATCGAAAACAAGGCCAGGGAACTGGAAATAGAACTGGAAAGCAAAGCAGCAACAAACAATGAAAAGATGAATCATCGGCAGGAACTACGAGAAGAGCACACAGAGAAGGGAAATGAATCTAATGAGGGTACTCTTCATCAGAAGAAAGCTGCAAAAATCATACAAACTTCGGAAGTAATGAGAGTAAGCATTAAACAACTTATAGGATAAACACAAGGGGAAAAAGAATTTAAACCCACTGTCATTTTGGTAATGCTAGGGTTGCTGGCAACTGTGCAAACAATACAGTCTGAAGGCGAAGTGGTTTAATTTCTTCCTCGTACTCTTCCTCCATTGTCATTTTTTTTTCTTTTGGGAACAGGGGCGGTACCCTGAAATTTATTAAAAGGAAACATGGAAAGAAACAAGGGGGGACAAACCAGCCTAGCCCAATTGAGGGGAAGAACAAAGAAGCCTAAACCCCTGAAATAAAATTACATTATAGTTCCCTGAAATCTACAGCAAATTTTTTAATAGGAAACGTGGAAAGAAACAGGACGAACAGCTAGAGTGCAAATTATGTGGCTGGCAAATAAATTAAACAGCATGATGCAAAGCAAACATCAGGAACGAATCCAGGAATATTGAAAACATGGCCAAGGCACCCGAACTAGCAAGCAAAGCAGCAACAAACAATGAAAAGATGAATCACCAGCAGGAACTACGCCAAAGCACACAGAGGAAGGAAATGAATCTGCTGAGGGCATTCTTCAGCAGCAGAAATCTAAATGAAAGCTGCAAAAATCATACAAACATAGAAAGTAATGAGAATAAGCATTAAAAATGTATAGGATAAACTCAAGGGGAAAGAGAATTTAAATCGAAAAAAGAATTGAAGAAATGATAAAATGTGATGAGAATATAAAATCCTGATAATATGTACCTAATCAGATGTTTCTTCATTAATGTCAATCTGGTGAACATCAATTTTAGGGATATGAGCGATCTTGGGCCAATCTTCTCCTGTTCCCTTTTGGCACCTTTCTCTCAATCTGGGACAATTCTGGATCATAAGCATTTGGAGTTTATTTAGATTGCCGACACACTCTGGCAATTCTCTGATGTTTGGACATTCTGAAATCATTAATTTTTGTAAGAAGTCTGCAGATCCTTGAAGAATCTGTTTTGGTAATGCTAGTGTTCCTGGCAACTCTGCTAATATTACAGTCTGAAGGGGAAGTGGTTTAATTTCTTCCTCGTACTCTTCCTCCATTGTCGTCAGATCAAGCTTTTCACAATCGACAATACACAAAAACTCCAGTGCAGCAAGGTATTTCATGCTTCGTGGCAAAGAGATCAAGCTTTTACATGAAATAATAGTCAAATTTCGAAGGCTTTTAAGACCTTGCATATCTTCGCACAAATATTCAAGATTTCCACAACGACCAATGAGTAACGATTGCAGACATTCCAAGCATCCAATCCCACCTTCTGGCAGCCGCTGCTGCTTAGTAATTAGAAATAAAGATCTAAGACTGATCATGTACCTCACATCTTTGGGCAGCTCTTCTAATCCCTGGCCTAGAAATAGAGCTTGCAAATTTTGTAATTTGAAAATAGAGTTCGGTAATCTTTTCAATTTTGAATTCCTACCCAAATTGAGATATCTCAAATGTTTTAGAGCACCAATCCTTTCTGGAAGCAATTCACAATCATCCATTAATTCTAACGACCGCAAATGCTTAAATTCTGTCAAACATTTCTCAAAATCTGCTTTGCATCTGGGCATCTCTAGTTCATCTGCAAAGAGAAGTGTTCGCACACGATTTGATTTATTTGGGAACTTGGGAAGAGGTTGATGGAAAAATGAATGAGAGTCAAGAACAGACAAATGAAGGGTAGTTTTGAAAATTTGGTTGTTTTGAGAGGTTGTGATTGAACACTCATTTTGAGCTAGCAACGATGCAAGATCATGCATTAAATCATGCATTTTAAATTGAAATGCAAAAATCACGTCTTGCAAATCTTGGAAGAAACATTTTGAGATCAACTCACGAATATAGCACAAGCCAACATCTTCCAAGTTTTCATTTGGATCTAATGATTGAATGAGTCCATGTGCCATCCAAAATTGCACCAAAATGGTATCGGTAAAATTGTAATCTTTTGGGAATATTGAACAATAAAGAAAGCATCTTTTTAAGTGAGTTGATAGTCGTTGATAACTTATTTTTAAAGCAGGTAAAATACCATCTTTATTTTCCTCCCACGTCCCACTATCCCTTATTGATTTCCACTCTCTTTCATCGATTTTACCATACAGTTGAGTTCCCAAGTTAATGACTGCTAAAGGAATTTGCTTGCATTTTTTCACTATTTCTTTCCCAATTTCCACCAAATTTGGATATAGCTGCATTTGTCTTTCCTTAAATGCACACTTACAAAACAAAGACAAACAATCATTTTGATCAAGAAGACTTAAGTCGTGTGCTTCAACAGTACCCATAATCTCAGCAACACGTTTGCTACGGGTAGTTATTATAATTTTACTTCCAGTTGCACCTTTCGACAACACAGACTTCAATAGGAGCCATTTTTTGGGATCTTCATCCCAAACATCATCTAAAACAAGCAAGTATTTCTTACCATTCAAAATTGCCTCAAGTTTTTCTTGTTGTTTACCCTCATCCAAACCATGATATTTTTCTCCAGTTGAAGATTCAATAATTTTTATCATCACTTGTTTTAATGCAAAGTTATCTGAAACACACACCATCATTTTCAGTTCAAAATCAGCATCTGCACTTTCATCATACACAGATTTGGCAAGAGCAGTCTTCCCCAAACCACCCATTCCAACTATTGGAACGACAGAAGGATGGGCATCATCAACCTTAAAAGGTTCTACTAAGAGGTTGATGATGCGTTCTTTGTCTTCGTCTCTTCCAATAAGATCAGAAAAATTCTGAAAGAATGGATTGATCTCTGTTTCCTCACTCAAGACATGACCATGATCAATAGTCTGCTCAGCAAGGTTAAAGTCAGACTTAAGAGATGCAATCTCAGCAAGTCTGTCGATGATGTCTTTTATTTTATGACCCACTCTTAAACGGAATGGAATCATATTAGAACTTGAAAAGAAGTGTCGTACCTTTCTGCTGATGCTCCCTCTAGTTTTCACCACTTGCCTTCCCAAAGTTTCACACTCAAATTCATCCAGCACGTCCTCCGCATCATACAAGACTTCTTTGAGCTTCTGGAGCCAAAGCCGAATCCTGTCATTTTGTGATTGTTGCCTCTCGGCATCTGACAGAACTGCATTGATGGCTGACAATCTCTCTTCAAGACGTGCAAGGTCAGCTTCAAGCCCTCATGCCAAACAAAATTCTTGAACCGCAAAAGAGCCTAGTTTCCCTAAAAGGGATTTTGCAATGTCGGTTGCAAAAGCTTCCGCCATTTTCTTTTCAGGTGGAGAAGAGAAGATTAATTGAACTGAAAAATGAGTGAGATGAAAGTGAAGTTATGTTTGGAAGATGTGCTCTTTTGATCTCTGCAAACCTGCTTAAATATCCAGAATTCGTGTGAATTGATGAAGACTTTTCTATCATAAATGAAAAAAATAATTAAAGACTTTTCTATTATGAAAGCAATAATTAAAGACTTTCCTCTTTCATGAGCACAATAATTGAAAATTTTAAAATCAAAACGCAAAGACCTGCACTATGGATACGACAAATTAAGTAAAGCATGACAAGGTATAGTTGGTTTGGTGCACAATAAACAAAGACCTTAGCATTTGCAATACCTAGGACACCTTAAACAAAGACTTTTTGCAATAATGATCTGCTCATGGTAGAGTTGCAAGTTGCAATTCATTATGGTCTGCTCATGGTAGAGTTGGCATACATAACCTTATAGCATTGACCTTAATAACGGAGCACCATTGTCTATCCAACCTCACCCTCTCAGTCTTCTCCTTCTTCTTGCACCACTTTACTTCTCACCATGAAATCTCCTTGTCTTGTGCAACCAGCACAGCACAGTCCGTTTCAATATGTTTAAATTTATGCAAACTTGACGAGCAAAATGAAAGAACTGACTTGCAATAAGTTGCAATTCATTATCATGTAACTCAAATTGTGGGCAAAATGTGCTAGGGCACCTGCTCAAAGTAGAGTTGACATCTGTAAGGTTAGAGTTTCGACCTTTAAACTAGGGTTAACTACCAATTTTCTCCAGACCTATATATTCGCGTACGTTTTCACTATCACTCTACATTAAATTATTATATTAATTTTACCCAAGAATTTCCATATTATCTTTTCCATCAAAATTGTGTCCCAAAAAGTTAAACAAATTCTATATTAAATGTACTTAATTATTTGCCACTTGGATCGTAGCATTGAGATCCTATTTGAGATATATTCTCTTCTCATTCTTTCTTGTTTTTGTTTTTGTGTTTTAAATAGCTAATAGATTCTCTTCTTTAATGGTGGAAAATGGTTGAACATGGTTTGGATCAAAATCGATATGGATAATGTGTTATTCGTACGTTATCCATTTTGGACCTATTTTTTTTTTTAAGTAGATTACCATACCTATTTATTTTCTTACCGATTAAACCTACTTAAATTAATTGTTTAATTAAGTTTGATCCCTTTATTACTAAATCTTTGTTATCTTAAATTTTCTTAAACATTCCATCTTTATATTAAATTCCTTCAGCGTTTCATTCCCAACCCTTCGAGGGAAAAGAAATATGTTAGTCCTTCTTTTGGTTGAGGATGAATCAAAAACTATTTTCCTTCCACTCTCATCTGGTTTTTATGTGTAGACATATAATTTACAGATAGAAATGTTTATTTAAAAAAAAAAAAAATCAAACTCTAGTTTTGTTCGGTGGAATGAGTTTGAGTATTCGAATGAGTTTCTGCATAACAAGTGTATATTTGTATAGAAAGGTAAGTCATCATAACGTGCTCCATCAAAAAATATTCTTTGACTGACGAGATCTATTCTTAAAAACAGACTATGATCTTTAAATTTATTTTTATTTCTTACTGATATAATTAATTCAAAAATATGCTTATGCTACGTCTTAATATTCCAACAATAGGATTACAAGAGAAAATACAAACATATGAGTAAGTATTATCACATTACTCCAACCTTTTAATTAAGTCTCATGATCTTTTTGACGGATGCATACATCTTATTTTACATGGAGTTAAAATCTCTTAATTTATTAAAACTAAAATGATCGATAGATTAGAATATCAATCTTATTTTTGTTTTTATTTTTTGATTTTTACATGTAATAAGGTACTTTTGGATTAGTTTTTATATCAATTGAGATTAATTAAGTCTGTCACTTTCTAGACTAATTCAACACCGTATCATTCACATCTAATTTTTAATCGATTCTAAGGGTTAGGCTTTTTGAATTCACTGCAAGTCCATATTTAATTTCACAAAAATGAGATGAACGAGCTTTCCAAAAATAGAATCGAACTTCGACTAGATTCGTCGAAATACTCTTCTTACAACTCCATCCACAACCTTTTGGTTTAGAATATCATTCCAAGCCACAATTATGTAATTTGTTAAAATTTTATCGAACTTGAAAATCAAAATGACAAAAGGTAAGAATTCTTCAATATGATATCCCTTAATTTAATTGCAAGTTGCAATATTGTAACTTTAGTGTAGGCAAGATAAGTGAGCACCTACTCAAGATACAATTGGCATCCATAAGATTAAAACAAGGACCTTATATATAATTAGGGTTAACAACAAATTTACTCCTACCCTATTCTTGAATATTCAAATTATTGACCTTTAGGCATTGGATTGTGAATCTACTATTTTAGCAGACCTATTAATATATAATTATTGACCTCCCCAAATATCACGTTTAATTTTTAATCGATTCTAAGAGTTAGACTTTTTGAATCCTATAACGAGTCCATGTTTAGTATCACATAAATGAAATGAATGAGGTTTTAAAAAATAGAATTGAACTCCTAACTAGATTAGTTAGAGACAACGTTCTTACCACTTCATCTACAATCTTTTGGTTTAGAATATCATGAGAAAAAATTATTTAAAATATACTTTTAATCTAAAAATATATTTCAGATAAATTATATATATTAATCATGCCACTATAATTCAAAAATTATCTAAATCTATTTTTCAAAAAAAAATCATATTCTAAAAATTTATTCCAAAATCCATACATATAGAAAAATAAATCAAAACTATCGGTAAATATAATTTTAAATTAATTCGATGAGAATTTAAAAAAAATGATAAATTAAAGTAGTAAATTTTAAATAATAAAAATAATTAATAAAAAATATTAAAACAAAATGGGACCAAATCACAATATAATTAAAGTTTGAAATTGAAAAAAAGTATATATAGAAAAATTGAGGACCAAAGTATTACAAAAATGACATGAATCATGAAAAGAATAGTGATTTGTGAGTATATGAATAATATTTTAAATAGTAAATGAATAGTAAACAATAGTTTTACTTTAGTTTTAGTGATAATTCCAAGCCAACAATTATGTAATTTGTTATAATTTTGTCAAACTTGAAAAACAAAATGACAAAAGGTAAGAATTCTTCAATACAATATCCCTTAATTTACTTGCAAGTTGCGATATCGTAACTTTAGTATACGCAAGATAAGTGAGCACCTACTCAAGATACAATTGGCATCCATAAGATTAAAACATGGACCTTATATAATTAGGGTTAACAACAAATATACTCCTACCCTATTCTTGAATATTCAAATTAATGAACTTTAGGCATTGGATTGTGAGTGTAGTTGGTATTTTTGTATTGTGTTATGTCGCGATCAATGTGTTATATTGCAAGGCTTAGTGTTCTATCTTAGGGTGAAACTAATATTTAAGGCAACTAATTGTTTTACACTTGAAAAATAAAACAACCAATAAGAACTATAATATAATATTTTAAATAATATGCCTGCTTTTCGTGGATGTCTGTACAATAAATTGAAGAATAAAGAAAGACCTGAGCTAAAGATGCTACCGTCAACATAAATATTAGGTGAAATTAATAATAAAAAAGGTTGGTTTGGTTCACAATATATTTAATTAATTAAGAGAAAATAATATCCTAAGTGAAACATAAATTAATTAGTTAAAGAAACTGGCAATGGCAATACGAAAATCATAATTAAATATTTATCTATTAGGAGAGGAAATAGTAGAGGAAATAATTTATTAAATGGAAGGTGGCAATATGATATATCATTTAAATACCTTATTTTAAATGAATATCTTTTTTTTTTAATCTTTAAAGTATTCCAAGTCGAAAGATTCAGACAAATCTATATTTATTTTATTAGGTGCACAAGATAAACACAATTAGTTAAAAAGTTTTTTACATGCAAAAAAATCGAATCCAAAACCATTTACTTAAACAATTAGATTCATTTCCGTTCAAAACCAATCCTTTTTTTTTTTAATGAATAAATTTAGCTTAAGTAATTCATCACAAAAAGGACCTTTTATTATGAGTACAACCATTGTTAATATGAAAAATCATAATCAAATATTTACGTAAAAAATCACATCACTAGTGTGTGTATATATATATATATATACACACGTGTGCTGTCAAATTAAAAGAAGCAAATGATGTCACGTGTTTGTAATTATATTTAAAAATATTATATAAAAATTAAACATGAAATTAAATTAAAAATTACGTAAATTAAAAACCTTTAAAGGAACAAATCATTCTTGATTTCATTTTCCATCCGTTTGTGCCAATACATGATAATGATATTGGATCAGACAAAAACAAATCAGATAATAGGCCTACAATAGTGAGCACGCTTAGGCCCGCATGAGTAGGCCTTTGAGCCCAAACATATAAAGAGGAGCAGAAGAAGATTTTAAAGGGCCTAAATGCAGAGAATTGAAAAGCGCTCTAAAATTTAGTTTTTTTTTTTTTCTCTGTTATATTTTTTGTCATTAAAAGCTTCCAAGGTTGTTTATTTTCTTCATTACCATCTTCATCAATTCTAATAATTATTTTGTTCTCAATTTTTTTTTCACTTATTATGCTATCATTTTTTCATTAATTTGGTGTGTTTTATTATTTTTATTTTTCTTGACTATAAAAATGTATTCTTATTATTCACATGAAAGCAATTTCTTGTAAAATTCATTGTATTCCTTTCCATCCTAATAAAAAATATTCTTATTTTATTTAAAAAGTATTAATGTGTTTATACCAACAGTCTTAATAGATATTAATATTGCACATCCAGTTGAACATCTTGTCAGATAAAAAAAATACTTAAATTTGGAAAAAAAATAATAAAAAAATGTCATAGAGCTTTGAATCTAGTTGGTGGATTGTGTTTATCATCTTCAATTAGACACCAAAATCTAAAGTTACGATCGTTTATAATTTAAGATGAATCTAGTTTTTTCTTTGTCGGTTTTGATTGATTTTGTTGTTATCCGATATCCGACGAGACTTTTGAAAATTAAAAATTTATCCACTTTGAATTATTTATGATTTATTCAAGAGAGGTAAACAATTATTAATTTTGAGAGTGGTCACCTAACTTTTTTTTTTTTCCGGTTTTGATTGAATCAATTCCCCTATTGATTTTTCAATAGCGAATAAGTTTACCCTTACTGTCTATCTCTACTAGGCAATTTAACAGAACATAGTAATTTCAATCTCTAGGGTTTTAAATTTTGATCAAACAAAATCCTATTAAAATATTTAGATGAAATTAAAACTTTTTGTAATTATATTTAAAAAAAATATCATAAAAATTAAACACAAAATTAAATTAAAAATTACGTAAATTAAAAACCTTAATGGAACAAATCATTCTTGATTTCATTTACCACCTCTTTGTGCGCGTACATGATATTGGATCAGACAAAAAAAAAAAAGTGAGCCTGCTTAGGCCCGGATGAATAGGCCTTTGAGCCCAAACCTATGAAGAGGACCCCAAGAAGGAACCTTACAGGGGATAAATCCAGATAATTGAAAAGCACCATGAGGTTTAGAATTTTTTTCATTAATTTGGTGTGTTTAATTATTTTTATTTGCCTTGACTATAAAGATGCATTCTTTTCATTCGCATGAAGGCTATTTCTTGTGAAATTCATTGTATTCCTTTTCCATCCTGATCAAAAATATATATTTTTAATTTAAAAAGTGTTAATGTACAAAATAGGTATAAGCCATACGACAATTGTTCTTTTTTTGAATTCTCCAAGGTATTTTAGATCCAAAAGGCCACATTAATATATTTTTTTGCTGTTTCATGGAAAGTACAAAATAGGGACAATTGCTCTTTGAAATGTCATTAGCAACAACCTTGTATTTGCTTTTCGGCAAAAAAAATTGGTGATAGTTGCTTCTATAAAGTTTCGAGAAATTTTATAATATCTTAGAAGTAGCTAATGATATGTACGAGTAGTTACTTCATGGATTCACTTTGAGGAGAGAGATACACATACAAAAAAGAGAGAGAAAAATAGGAGAGAGAAAATAAAAAAATTTGAGCGGACGTGAAAATCTTCTTATTACTTTTGATGGGTATAAATATAATTTCTATCTTTTTTATGTGTCTATCTCTCTCTTCAAAGTGAATCCATGGAATAATTACTATATATATCACTAGTTACTCACGATATATTATAAAATTTCTCATAAAGTTTCAGAGTCAAATATGGACATGACAACGGAAAAAGCAAACATGAAATACCTCCAGAATCCAGATCATCAAATTCAAGTTGGTCCATCAATTTGGTCTCCTCTTTTACTCGTTTGAATATCTGAATTAAGGGCAAGAATATGAACTTGAAAACAGAAATTACAATAATTTTCGAATTGGTTTGACGCAAAATGGTCTGCTCATGGTAGAGTTGGCATCCATAACCTTACAGCATGGTCTATCCAGCCTCACCCTCTCCATCTTCTCCTTCTTCTTACATCACTTTACTTCTCACCGTGAAATCTCACTCTCTTGTGCAACAAGCACTACAGTCCTTTTCAATACGTTATAAAAATAGAAGAATAATATATAAAAATGAATACAAAGACAAACAAAAAACAAAAAATAAAGAGAGAGATAAAGCAAAGATGTTTTTTTTTTTTTAAGAATGGTAAAAAAAGAAAAAAAAAAAAACTAAATCTAAAAGAACAAAGAAGATGAATGAGAAAGTTTTGGGGCTGGCCACTCACAAATTGGTTAGCTGCAATCCATAAAGATAAAATGATGATTTTTTTTTTTTTTTAGTAAGAGAGATCACAGTGTTTTTAATTTATTTTTTTAACTCATAAAATGTCTAAGATGAATATGATGAAGCTATTTAATGTAATGAAATTATTTTTTAATAATTATGAAAAGAATGACATGGATGAAAAAAAATTTTTGACAAAAAATTACCTTTCTTTGATGATTAAGTTTAAAAATACCTCATTTAAGGAATAAATATTTAAAAATATATTGATTTTTTAAAAAAAAAACTCAAGAAATTTCTTACTTATTTCCATTTGTCAATTACTGTTAATTATATTTTAGAGCACGGTGGCGCATTGCTATTGGAGCACAAATTTGGAGAGGGAGACGGGTTGTTTGAGTTAGAAGAAGGCCCAATTTGAACCTGGCTCCACTGTTTTTTTTTTTTTTAATATACATATAGATTATTTAATTCGAGTAAATTATAAATTATTTAGTTTCTTAGTTAGTGTTGATTGTATTTAATTAAATATTAAGTTATTTCTTTTAAAAAAAATCATATTTTCTCATGAATTTTTTCATACTTTTACTTAATTTTTTTCTTTATTCTATTTCTCAAAATAAAAATAAAAATAAATTGAAAAAAAAAAAAGAAAAAGCAATAAGTTATAAAACAATTTAAAAATATAGAAACTAAATAATTAATTTTTGAAATAAAGAAAACTATTTAATTTGTTTCTCAAAACTAGAGAGACTAATTCTTGTGGTAGGATTAATCCTAGCTACTTAGTCTGGATTGGCAAATCCAAATTCCAACAGGAATCCCATTGGCTCGTTGTTGATCAGTACGCCTATTTAAAGAGCATAATGTCTTAGACAGCCACACAAAATAGGGATTTACCCTCGACTTAATTAAGCTAGACAAACTAATCCTATTTAATCCCATTAGCAAATCCAATTTTCAACAGGAATCCGATTGGCTTGCCGGTTAATTTTAGCAGCCTATTTAAGAACCTCCAAGGTTCCAAAAGAAGAAATCAAAGCATCTGCGTACAAATGTCTCTCACAAAGCCTACTCATCATGCTGTCAAAAAACTCATGCTCTTCAAGAATAACAAAGTATCCTATTCGCCATCATGGGAGGTTCTTTCTCTAGTGGTTCACCATCTAGACCCTAAAACCCCTAACTATTGCTTCTTGTTGTGTCCAAATCATGGTTGGATTCCTTCTCCTCTGAGGATATTTTGCAGCCAATATGCTCTGCTGAATACCCTTCTGCATATAACCTTAAAGACGTAGACCCGACTGTCCCTTATCACCGCCTATCTGCTATTGCCTACACGGCGGCATCCAAGCTATAGTTGCGAAAGCCAGTAAAACCCCATCTGTCCCTCAATGACCTCCTCTTCATCATCAATGCAAAGACTGAAGAATCTTCCACTTTATTCACCCTATCAAAACCATGCAATGAACTGGAGGTAGATCGTAATGGGATATTCAAGTTCTCTGTTGACACCGATTTTGACTTAGGAGAAGGGTCAAACACCACAGACTCCCGACCAGGCTTGGCTGGGTCTTTTTTCTCCCTTTTTTTTCATTTATAAGTTATTTAATTCTTGCTGTTAGAAACTACGACTAAAGCATAAATAAGTCCCTTTATTTTTAAAAAATAAATAAATTAATCTCTTTTATTTTAAAAACTAATGATTAATTATTGACTAGTGTTAACAATGTTTATTTAATACTATTTTATTTCAACAAAAATATCATTTTTTAATCAATTCTTTTATATTTGTTGTTTTTTTTTTCTATTTCTTAAATAAAAAAATTAAAATAAATTCAAAATGAACCAAAATGATTAAGTTACAAGAATATTTAAAAAATATAAGAACTAAATAATTCATTTTTAAAACAAGAGAGACTAATTAATTTATTTTTCAAAACTATATGAATAAATTTATAATTTACTCAAATTATTTAATTATTGATATTAGAAACTACACATCAAAAAAAAAAAAAAAAACCACAAAATTGCTTCATCATGGTGTAACAATATTTGCATAATTGTATCGAGGGGTGTCGCTACGCGACGTCGGACGAAACTCCCAATATAAATCTAAGTGTTAATTATTTATAAAATTATTTACAGAGTTTTGGAGTCATCACCTAGTATTTAAGGAACTAGGAACCTAAAATAGGCACTAGTTCATAGATTCCTAAGGTAAGGAGTTGGTTACACTTTTAGAAAGATATTTAATCATCTAAAAATGCTCCTTTTTGAAAAAAAGTACCATGTATGGTTTTGTTTTGAATTCATCTACGAAAATATCAAATTATTTTCTAATTGCTAGACTCCTATTTTTTTAAAAAAAAACAAACAAATTGAAATTTTAATTTTTGAGTGTGGCATCATATTGAAACGATCGTCGGTCCTTTTCGTCGGGTGACATGTCGGTCCAAACATCGAATCCACTATTAGCTTTGATACAACCGTGTGTCGAAGAACATCCCGATTAAAAGGTGATTTTTGATGACGTTAGTCTCTATCAAATAAGAGATTTCGTTGAAAATTTTAGATATTCTTTTTGGTGACGTCAGGCCCTATCGGATAGGAGACTTCGTCGAAATTGTTATTATTATTATTTATATGTTTTTTTGTGACGTCGGTCCCTATCAAGTAGGAGGCTTCGCAAAAAATTTTAGACATTTTTTTTTGTGAAGTCATTCCTTATCGGATGGGAGACTTCATCAAAAAATTTATAATTTTATCTAACAACAAAAAGAAAAGAAAAAAATTGAAGCAACAATTCTAAATTAATATAAGAACAAGCGTCAAGGAATAAAAATAACAAGCTAAAAAAACAAAAAGATGAATAGATGAGTAAAAAAAAAAAAGAATTCATCCTAGACCTAATCCATTAACCCACAACTTATTTTTCTCTTACCTATTCCCTTTTTTTTTTTCATTTTTTTCCTAATTCTATTTTTTACCTTTTTTTTATTACCATGTTTATTATTTTTTATTTTTTGGGAGGCTGGACTTCCAGCCTCTCTTGCATTTTTCTTCTTTTTTTTTTTTAGCGGGGGGAAGGGGGGCACGGGCTAGACTGATAACAATCCAACCCATCATTTGTTTTTTTTAAAAAAAAAGAAAACGGGCTGGACGTTAAGCCCCAAAACAAGTTCCTTTTTTTATTTTCCATTTTTCAGATCAAAACCCATATTTCCTAGCCTTCAACCCTTTCTCTCTCTTGTTCTTCGGGTTCTTAACTTCTTCTCTCTACTTTTCAATTTTTTTATGAATTGATCACTTGTTTTAAACTAAAAGTTAATTGAATTACTTGTGGTTTCCTCACCTCGATAGAACTTGAAACTTAAAGCAAGTTGAAATAAAAGAAAAGAAAAACAAAACTGGAAACATAAAATGAATGAAAAACAAATCAACAAATCTGAGATTTCTGATAGAAGGAAGATTAATTGTTGCTTTGGGAGGATGAGGAAAAAAAACGAACTACCAGGATGATTCGTGGATGATAAGGAACTCACGACTGATACTAATTGTTTGGATGGTAATTAAAATCCCAAATGAGAACCTAGAATCATAAAGAACAACTGTAGAGCAAGTTCAACACTACCCAGAAAAAGGAGAATACTGCCCAGAATTTTCAAGGAGAAAACATATGAACCAAAAATCAAAAACACCAAGAACCTCAAGAATACGAACCTAGAAACCCAACAACTGTAACCCCAATTTGCCAATTTTTAGCTTCTCGTTTTTCACTCTCTTTTAATCTAAAATTTCTCGCCCTCTCTTATTATGTGAAATCAAACCCATTTTATAGCCAAAACTTCCTAGAATTTCTCCTAGAATCAAATCTCAATCTTGAATTTTTCTGTCAAAATATTTCCTCTTTAATTCATGATTAATGCGAAATCAAAACAGGAAACTTTGATCATTGCTTGATTTTCTGTTGGTATTAATTCCAATAATCATGATAAACGTGAAATCAAAATAAAAAATTTGATGGAAGATTTAGCAGATTCTTCTAAGGATTTTCGGAGAGAATTTGGGATTTGGAGTGGATGACAGGTCGTCCTCTACATTTCAGTCCTGTCATCTGTTCCAATATTCTAATTGAGTTCATGTGTATTTCAATTTTAGCAATTATGCCCTTATGTGATACAATTTAAATCTTTATAAAGCACAATCTTATCAATTGGGTCCCTGTATGGTGCAATTTAGGTTCTAAATTTTTCAATTGGTTCGATTATACCCTTAATTATCTCAATTATACATTCCTTGAAATGTAATTATGCCCTTGAATGAATGTTTTTGTGTTTTTCATCATTTTTTCCATTTTTTTCTTTTTTTTTTTTGTAGTAAATTTCAATTGAAATAAAACAAGACATACATGAATAAAAATAAAATAACTAAAATAATAAAATAAAAATGGATAAATTTTGGGTTATTACAAGAGGATTCACTAATGCGAGCAAAGTCGAGTATAACCATACTATAATGAAACAATTTTATAAGATAACTTATATGATTAGGGAAAATAATAAATAATGTAAAATTAAGCTTGACCATGAGATTATATATTTTACTAGCATAATAAAATGTGGAATAAAAATCTATTCGAATAAAAATTTAACGTGATTGTAACCTTCTAAATGCAAAATGATGAGGAAGTAGATAACCGTTTTCTCCAAAAGAAAACCTTATTGTCATCTTTCTTTGATGTCCATACTGTAAATAAAATCTTGACGCGAATTTCAGATAATTAATACAATAAACACATTCATCATTTTGATCTGACCACTCATTCAACTTCATTTTTTTTAATTATAAAATTTTTTTTTAATTATAACAAATATATTAATTATTATATTATATCAGCCTTTTTTATTTTTACTTTTGTAAAAAATATATTTTTATATAATAGCATTTGAACAATTATTTACACAATGAACTTTAATTAGGAGATTTTAGCAAAGTATATCACTTAAAGTATTTTGAGATAGATATAAATAAAAAAATAAATATTTTTTTTGACATGGAGCAAGTATAAATTTATTAATTTCTGATCAAAACAAGAAACTTTTGGCCACGTAAGCACCAAATTAATATGATAAATATTTTAATGCCCCAAAAAGCATGTGTTTAAAAGTTGTAATAAATCTTAATTTTAACATCAAATAAAGTAAAAAATAAAAAAGATTAAACTTAATGTTGGAAGAACCGATTAACTTCAAGATTGAACAAATAATTTCATTTTTCATTATGTAGTTGATAGTATTGGGATCTAAAATATCAATAGTTGATAGAAATTCAATTCGAATAAGAATTTGATTAAAACCAATACTATTGATGGAGTAAACTAAAATTTTTCTTTCCTAAACCCTAAAATTACTCTTATAAAATTTCAACTATAAACAATTTTGATACAGGGAAGTATAATAACTGAGAAACTATCTCAAATTAAATATGAATCTTTTTCCACAAAATTGTTATATTGCAGGCAAGATTAATTAAAGATTTGAAAAACTGATCAACAGTGAGAATTGTGGGAAAAAAAAGTTTATGAAGATAATTGTTGTATTGATTGCATGCTTGGCTTCAATTTTGGTGAATTTAGTAGCATTCCATTTTAAAAATTGCATGTATTATTGAGTGGATTTTATAAATTAAAAAGTAAAATTTGGAAGAGTTTTTTTTAATAAAATTAGATATCATTTAAAAATGGATTCTATAAATTAAATTGTTAAAATTTTTGAATCTTGAAAATATCTTTTCATAAACCTGCATAATGCAGTGTGGTCGCTCTTTGGATCATGCCATGTTGTTCATGGGCTTGGGTTAGACTGTTAGAGACCTGCATGATTCATTGTCCCGTATCTCCTTTCTAGTCTTTCTGTATTGTTTTTTTTTTTTTTAGTACAATAATGAAATATAGAAAGCAAGGCAATTATATGGAGGAAAAAAAATATTAATATCTTTAAATGTCTTCATATAATACATTAATTTTTTAATTTGTCTCTAAAAAATACCTTTAAATCTGTCTTTATATTTTGAGTTGGTTTCTAATCTATCATTTTTATCAAAATTTTCGATCATTTTTCAGAAATTAATCTTCATATTTGTAAAGATAAATTACTTGTAACAAATTAATCTTCAGAAATTAATCTCTCTCCTTTTTATATGTCTATCTCTCTCCTCAAAGTGGATTCATGGAGTAATTACTATATATGTCACTAGTTACTTTTTTAATATTATAAAATTTCTATTTATTGTTTTTTATATAGGCTAATTCAAATCATTTAGGTTAGGAAAAAAAAACTATATAGTCTATTAAAAAAAATCAAATTTGAGCCAAATTATTATTCATTTTGTTTTTTTAGATTTGGATTAATCATAATTAAATTGAAATTTTAAAAACTAAATCGAAAAGACAAATATCGCCCTAACTATACCTACAGAGATTACAAAAGTGTTTGTTTTAAAGAGATTGTTATATTTAATTTTTCATACAGATTTAAAAAGTCATAATTGGTATGCCATTACACCTTTCTTTATTCATCATTTTTTAAATACTTTCATTTTATAATAGGTCTCTTCCTAAATGAGTTTTAATTATGGATATTGAAACGTACTTACTTAATATTTTGACTAAAATAAATATTTTTTGACAAACAAAAATAAAAAATAAGATAATTTCTTCGAGACGGAACGATTATAATTTGTACTAATAATCTTGATAATTAAGTCAGAGACTTTCCATAAAAAAAAAAAAAAAAGTTAAATACTTTTCATTGCATTAATTGCTTATTGTGGAGCATGATGGTCCCTTGTAAGAAAATCTAACGTAATCTCATATGCATGATTATGATTGATGGGCTCGTTTGATTTGATTTGAAGTATGAATATAATGGGCTTGCCTTCAAAGGATAATCGAGTACAAGTCCAACATTTAGCGTCATCTCCTGCTTATATATATATATATATATAATGGCCAGTATAGTAATTATATACACTTTATGAACATTTGTACCTTTTTCTTTTCTTTACTTTTTTTAATTTTAAGGATAAATCTATCGATCTGTCCTTATATAATACTCAAAATTTTTCATGTGTCTTTAAATTTCTAATTACATCCTATTTTTATATAAAAGTATTTAAAATATTCAATTTGTCATTCTAATCAAAATTTTTAGCTAAATAAATTTGTTTCAATCACAATATCATTAACTAAATTATGAAAAAAATATAATAATAAAAACATTTACCGTCATATGACCTACTTGTTTTGTTTTTTAAATCTTTCAAATTTTATTTTATTTTTTCTTGCATTTCAATTAGAGACAGTTCGATAAAAAATAAAAAATAAAAGGCATTTGGTTGAGAAAATTGATCAAGAATAGCAAATTGAATATTTCATAAACTTTCATGCACAAATGAGATACAGTTAAAAATTTAAAAACAAATAAGAGATTTGGAATATTATAGAAGTACAAATAAGTATATTTATCTTAATTTTAATATCCTTTTATTTTCTTGTAAGTGTATTAATTTGTCATTCAATCGTTATATTTCTTTTTATATAATTTCAACCCTACGATATTTCTTTTAATAGAAATGTTTAAATTGTCTTGCGATAAAAAGGGTAAGCCATGTTTTTACCTAATTAATACATCAATGTTTCACTTCACTCTTATCATTTAAAATTTCCCAAAATTACTCTCACATAAGGAAACAGAGTAGTTTCATCATGCATTATATCTTTTAATGTAAGTTCTAATTATGAATTTCTCAAAGTACCCGAGGAAAGGAATTCTCTAGAATTAGTAACTAATGATTAACTGTCATTTTCTTCTAATGAATTTAATGCCACGATTAACCAAGAGATCTTGCCTTACAGTATTTTTGATAATCAGAGAGATAATAATATAGGTTATTCGTTCTTCCCCTGTCAAATCAGCTAGGATTTCAGCAAGATCAAACGTTTCAAATTTTTAATGAATTTTCAGCTTTTTGAAAATTAGTCTGTGGATTTTCGATTTCGAATTAGACTTTTTTTTTATTTTTTATATTTAAAATTGAGTTTTTTTATTGGTATTTTTTTTTATCAATCCTAAAGTATAAATATAATTTCTCAACTGCTAAAAATATGTAAAAACTTATCAATACTTTGTTTTTCTCTCAAAAACTTATTTCTTCTCTCTTAAAACACTAAAACGTAAGCAATTAAAGATTTTTTTTAAAAAAAACAAGCTTTGAAAGGAAAAAAAATATTCATACGTTTTGGCAAATTTATAAATGTTAAGAAAGTTAAAAAGTTAACCTCATGTAAAGTATGTGTATTTTAAATGTTATAATTAATGGAAACCTACATTCAAATAAGAATAGTTAAGAAGAGTTATTACCTGAAATTAGAAGTTAAGGGACTGATTCTCAAATAATTTAAAGCTTAGAAGAGATTTACCATTTAGCCCTAAATTATTGGCAAAGTTGTTCTCAGCCAGACAATACCAAGAATCCAAGAAACCATCCTAATTAGCTCTTGCCCATTTTGCCCATAATTTTTAAGAAGGAAAACCCCATTTTCATCCCTTGTATATTAACATATTTTCAATTCATCCTAAACTAATTGATTTTAACAATTTCATCCCAAACCAATTTCAATTTCCATCATAAACCATTTCCTTGTGTAATACAATGACTTCATTAGTGAATTTATGATACTTAAAAAGCCAATTAAGAAAAATTTTAATCTAGAAACCCAATTTAGCTAATACAATTATACAAATGTAAGAGACTTCTAGAGTAAATTAGAAATTAGTCCCTGTATTTTCAAAAAATGAACAAATTAGTTTTTTTTTAATTTCAAAAACTAATTTTTTTTAATCAATGATGTTCACGTTTAATTTAATATTATTTTATTATAAAAATGTTATTTTTTCATCCATCCTTCCATTTTTTACATATTTTTTTATTTTTTATTTTTGTAAAAATAAAAAAATAAAAAAATATGTAAAAATATATAAACTAAATAAATAATTAGATTCTAAAAAAAAAAGAATAATAAATCCGTTTCTCAAATTAGAAAGAGTAATTCATAATTTAACAAAGAGTAAATTGTAAGGTAGTCCACAAATAATTTAATCATTCTATTTTAAAAACTCTCATTAATTAATCAATCCGTATATTAATGACGCAACCCCTTCCATTCTTTTTTTAATTATTGAGTTGCTGAGATGTTACTGATTTTCCAATTACTTTCCCTTAGTTTCCTTAACGACTTGACAATCAAAGATGTCTAAAGGATTAATTAATTAGTTGTAAGAATTAAAGAACTAAATTGTTTTTCACATGAAATAAAAGGATTAAATTATAAGTTACTCTAATAGCTACGTGAAAAGAAACTATAGCAACAGTCAGCACTCTTTACTCTTTGGTTTCCACTTCCCACTACTTTTTGTAAGAATCAAAAACAGAGGCAGAGACAGAGACAACCTCGACATCATCAAATCTTAATAAATCCTTCGCTATCGTCTCCACTACCTATCAAAGACAGCAAAATGCCACCGCCATTACTTCAAAACCCCATTCACACTGTCCTAAAACCCCTCCTCCTCCTCTTCCTCCTGCCCACCACCACGTCCCACACCTCTTCCACCGCCGCCCCGCCACCTCAATCTAGTTCCCTATCCCAGTGGCAATCCGCACGCGCCACTTACTACGCAGCATCCGATCCCCGGGACACAGTGGGAGGCGCGTGTGGATATGGGAACTTAGTTAAAGCAGGATATGGAATGGCAACTGTAGCGTTGAGTGAATCAATGTTTGCACGTGGACAGATCTGTGGCGCATGTTTTGAACTCAAGTGTGTTGATGATCTGAGATGGTGTATTCCTGGGACTTCTATTATTGTTTCTGTTACTAATTTTTGTGCTCCAAATTATGGGTTCACTTCCGAGGGTGGTGGAAAATGTAACCCTCCTAATAAGCATTTTGTGCTACCCATCGAAGCTTTTGAAAAGATTGCCATTTGGAAGGCAGCTAATATGCCTGTTCAGTACAGAAGGTAAACATCTAAAAACCCTTTTGGATTTTGTTGGTTGAAGTTAAGATTTTTAAGTTTAAGGTTGATGTTGGAGTCCTTTAAAATTGAATCATGCAAGAGAAGATGTTTTGTTTTTTTGTAGGAACTTTGATGATTTGCTTGCCTAATTCTGCCAAGATTTGAAATTTGAGTGTCTAGTTAGTTAATTTTCAATGAATATGTCTTCTGTTAGCTTGATCTTTCTTGCTAACGTACTGTGACTAAAATTTAGCAACTAAAAAGAAGAGTGCCAGTGGGATAAATTTAGCAATTTTATGTTGGTAATTGTTTGTCTTTGCCTGCCTATTTCTTCTTTCAAATTTTGTTTCTTTTAGCCTATTTTTGTATGAATTAGACCGGCTATTCTGAGTTTTTATTTAGTTTCATTTTTCTAGCTTATGGACACCCTGACCTGATTTTATGTTTTCTGCCATTGAGATTAAAAATTAGAAGCTGTTAATTGTAGTTTTAGAAACAGAAAGGTTTCTTGTCATATAAAAAAGAAAGTGCTTGGTGTAATTTAGCAACTTAGCAAGTAGACCAGGGATGGGGCGATCTAAATTTATTGCTTTGTGTGTCTTGCTCAGTGCTAATATGCACGCAGTCTCTTTCGAACTTGTATTATGGCATTATTTGTGGGGCTGTTGTCAAGAGTACACTGTTTTGGCTTTGAAAATTCAAATGGGTTTTCCCTTACTCTTCTAGTTGTTACTTGATGGAAAATGTAAATAAATGCATAATGGAAGATAGCCCACTATCTTGTCCCAATCCTGCATCAAAAGAAGTAAAATTTTCACTAATCACTAGTAAATATGCTTTCTTTTGTATCTGAAAGTGACAGTTCCTTTGCCAAATATATCTTTGCGAATGTCTGAAAGCGTGCAGTTAACTGGCAATAACTTTAAGTGTATTTCTTTTACTTTAACTGGTAGCAAAAGTAAGCTCAAGAACACTGTATTTATATATACTGGAATTATTCTAGAAATAAGTAGCCTTTCCCTTTCATTTCATCTGAAATCTAAATGCAGGTTCTTGAAGTTTGCTATTGTTGTTTTCAAATGGATTTTTTTTTCATGCTTATCCTTGATTGTGATCATGTTTGAACAGGATCAAATGCAGAAAGGAAGGAGGGATTCGGTTTACCATCTCAGGGTCCGGTATCTTCCTTTCGGTGCTGATCAGCAATGTTGCAGGCGCTGGAGATGTAACTGCAGTGAAGATTAAAGGTTCAAGAACAGGTTGGCTTGATATGGGTAGGAATTGGGGCCAGAACTGGCATGTTAATGCTCATTTACAGAATCAAGCTCTCTCATTTGAGGTCACTAGTAGTGATAGGATGACTGTTATTACTTACAATGTTGCTCCCAAAGATTGGAGATTCGGACAGACATTCGAAGGCAAGCAATTCAAGATTTAATGTACTGGCAAGAAGATAAGATGATAATATATGAAAGCATTCATTTCTTTTTCTTTCTTCCATGTTTGGCTCTCCTTGTTGGGTGGAAGGTGTATGGCGTGGTGGGTTTTGTCAATTTTGGTTGAAAATGTATCAGTTGGTGGTGTATCTATATGGTCCAAAGTACTTAGTTTGAGAAGATACTACATTGTTGTAACCTGTAACTTAAAACAATGTTAAATGATCAAGTCTGCTGCTTTCTCCTACTCTGACCAACCCTGCCTTCTCCAAGAGTTATTTTTTCGTAGTTGTGTTTTTTTCTTTTTTCCGAAGAAGAGGATCGAATTTGACACCTTTTAGGGAAGGAGGATAATGGCGCCGGTTGAGATACAAGTTCATCGGCACCGCAAATCACTGTCGGTTTTCTTGATGCAGTTCATTGTGATGCCATGGCTTTTTTTTTGTTTTTTTTTTGGTTGCTGGATTGAATTTTATGGAGTAACAATGGCTAGATATGGCTAGAATTTGGGTTGGATTGGCTAGAAAAGGCCATGACTGGCAGTTATCTACTCAAGGTGAGGGTGGACTGTGGAGAGCCTGAGACCAGTAGTTTGGTGATGATGCTATGGCAAGTTGGATGACATGTATTTTGGATCGGATGCAAAGAAGCTTCTTTTATAAAAGGCTTAGCCATCTTTTGTCCCCTATGTTGTAGCAAATAGTTAGCCTTACCCTCTATGTTTTAGATTTAGTCAATTGACACCAAAATTAACACGATATTGATCAATTGAGACGCTAATCAATAATTTTCCTTGTAAAGGAATCAATGTCACTTTATAGAAAAGCAAGAATTAACTTTTTTTTAAAAAAAAATCTAAAAAATGTTTTTTTTAATAAAAAGAATATTAAAAAGTTGCTTAAAGGATTGCTTTGCTTACTTTTTAAAAAAAATGCTTTTTATTTCGAGTTTAAAAGATTTCTCTATTGTTTTTTATTTTATTATCAACCACGTAGATTATATTTTTATTACTATTATACCCTTCCCACATTACTTATACCATTAAATTTGACCATTAGTTCTATATAGACACTTGTCCTATGTCCAATGAATAAAAAATAAATGTCAATTTCAAAGTAATAACTCAGTACCTAATCTTTTTTATTCTGATAATAAACCTTCAAACTTTTCCTTTACTTCATAATTTTTTTTATTAGATGGATTGCTCAAGCATGTGACCATTTGCTTGACGATTCGTGTAGACATTACTGTAATGTCTAGAAATTTGACATCAAACAAGGGCAAAATTGAAACTTTTTGTTTTGACTTTCTCATAACGAGTTGACTTCTACACCTAACATAGTTCCGTTCCCATTCTAAACAGCTGTATATCAACCACAGATTCATCACCATTCATTCCAATTCCTTCAACCATGCTCTAGTTGTTAGAAAGCTTCTTTTGTGAACGCAAAGAGAAAAAATTTACCATTTTTGATAGGATAGGAGAAGGCAGAGCTATGGAAAGGAAATTATCGTACAAGGAAGATAACATTTGTTATGCCAGTATTGATAGAAAGGGTATGTTTTTTGAGTTCTCAAATTTTGCTTTGATATTTGTCTTTCTTTCACATGACATAAACATATAAACCTGGTATCATCTTCTTTTGTGTATACAAAGAGAAAATTTTTACTATTTTTGATATGATAGGAAAAGGCAGATATGTGAAAAGGAAGTTAATCAAATTATTGGAGACGGACGATGAGCCTTCTAATGCCACCATTTGTATAAATGGTATGCTTTTTCAGTTCTCAATTTTGCTTTCCTACTTATATGTCTTTCACATAACATAAGCATACACAGATACTGGCAAATGACAAAACCTGGAATCATCTTCTTTTGCGTAGACAAAGAGAATTTTTTTACTAATTTTGATATGATAGGAAAAGACAGAGCTCCGAAAAGGCAAAAATTGGACAGAGAAGATGACACTTCTGATGCCACCATTGACATAAATGGTATGTCTTTTTAGTTCTCAGTTTTGCTTTATATTTATCTCTCTTTCACATAGCATAAACATTCACAGACACTGACAAATGACAAAACCTGGAATCATGTTTTATTCTTAGGAAAGTAAGTACAAATTATTTTGATGTAAAGGGTAGAGCATGAAAAGTAGGAAAAATGTTTTTGGACAATGATTTCTTAGACAACAACTGTACAGGTACCGCATGAATAAAACATTTTCCTATGTAATTTGAATGCCGAATTGCAGAAAAGAAAAGATACAGAAAGGTTCGACCAGCACACTATACCTTTGAGATTGAGTCATTCTCCTCACTTTTGGAGACTAAGGTCGAAAAGTATGAAACCAATGATTTTGAATCTGGTGGCTACAAATGGTTTGCTCTGATAAATCATAACTGATGTTCTTCTATATCAAGTTCTTTTTGTTTGTGTAATCAGATTTATCGTTTTTTTAGGAGAATGGTTCTTTACCCAAATGGGAAAAAGAAGGAAGATGACAATAGTCACATATCATTATTCTTGGCAATGACAGAGCCGGATGATGTTTCTCTAGGTTGGGAGGTTAACGTTTCTGTCACCTTTTTTTTGTTCGATAGAATTCGCGACAGATATTTGGCTGTTCAAGGTATTAGACCAGGATCAAGTGTGTAACTGTTTATAGTTTTTCAGTTCAAATTTAAGTAATATATGTTTGTATTCAGATGCTGATAGGATAGACTGGCGGTTTCATAAGATGAAGATGGAATGGGGTTTCATTAAGTTTCTTTCTCATGACACTTTGCGTGACCCTTCGAAAGGCTTCCTGGTAGATGATTGTTGCATATTTGGAGTGGAGGTATTTGTTATTAAAAGACCTGGTGAAGGAGAGAGTCTTTCATTCGTCAAAGAACCTGCAAATGGTCTACAGACTCAGCCGATTAAGAACTTTTCGAAGCTGAATGAACCTGTCTGGTTCTCTGATGTGTTTATTGTTGAAGGAATAAAATGGTATGTGTTGATTGTTGTATTGCTTAAGTACTATTGTTATGCTTAGATCGGTTTATTAGTCCCTCTAACTTGATGCCGCAATTCATCAGGAAGCTGCAGGTTCATCCTGGGGGAGATTCAAATGCATCAGGGACACACCTTTCACTTTATCTCAGCTTAGATGATTCAGAAACTCTTCAAACGAGGCGGAAACTGTACGTAAAATGCTCATTCAGAGTAAAGGACAACATAAACGGCGATCACTACGAAAGAAAAGGTTTGTGCTATTTTACCTCTTACCGTGTCGTTTAACTTCCATGTGGATAACTGTAAACATGGTCTTCAATTGTTCTTTTGCAGCTGAGAGTGAATATTGGTTTGATGCCTCTCGTAAGGAGTGTGGTTTCTCTGATTTCATGTCGCTAGCTACTCTCAAGGACCAATCCAAGGGCTACCTAGAGAATGACTGTTTGATAATCGAAACAAATTTTGAGCTCATTTCTGTGGCAAAAGATTTCTCTCAAAAAAGAGAGATCCACCTTCACCAAATCATTTTGTATCTAGTCAAGGACTGCTAGGAAATACCTAGTTAGGTATAAATGTTGTAGAGATTTTATGTATTCGAAGCAAATTCGTATTGTCTGGTTTGCAATGTGTTCTCTGTTTTTATTATTTCTTCTCCGATGCCATTGAACATCCTTTCTTGTTCTTCAACCTTTACCACTCTAATTCGAACCTAATCTGCCTAGATCTATGTTGTAAGGTTTCCAAGTACAACAACACCTTGTACAGAATCTGAGCAGTTAGTTATTATCAGAAATGTGGTCGTGTTAAAAACTTGACATCTGAATGCTCTACATAAACATAAGTTCTGCAATTAACGATTATCTGAAGCATTCAACCGATGGCTAGTTGTAAGTTCTTCTTCCATCTGAAATTTCAAGTCAAGTTTGTTCTTGTTGCAAATTTTTGTTTGGTTAAATTAGATGACGCAGAATCAATTTTTTTGAAAAATAAATGGTTTCAAAATATCAAAGCTTCTACCTTCGGGTCCAGCATCTTCATTTCAGTTTTGATCAGCAAAGTTGCAGGAGCTGGAGAAGTAACTGCAATGAAGCTGCTTAAGGTTTCAAGAGCCGGGTGCGCAGCTTGATGTGGGTAGGAATTGGGGACAAAGAATGGCATACAGGATCAACTTTTCAAAATACTAATACTTGGTTTCCAAAATCGTAGTAGTATATAATCAGAATCAAGTCTGCTGTCTTTTTCTACTCAGGCCACTCCTGTTTCTTCCAAGAGTTATTTTGTCGTTGTGTGTTTCACTTCGAATATTCAGAGCTTAAACTAGTAATATGCAGGAAGCATGATATACCCTATTGTGTCCTTTCCTTTTCAAGCTCCCTGGACCTTAGTTATGGAGCTTAAGGCAGTCCTTATCCATAAAGAGTGAATTAAGAAATGGCTGCCAGCATGAGCATGGTTTGACAGATTTTCAGAAATTAAAGGAACCCTATGTCTTTACCAAAAGTACAAGACAGAAAGTTTGCCTATTCTTAAACTAGAAATTGTTTGAAGAAGACAGACAACATCAATATCCACTCCTGCCAGAAGAAGGTGGGATTTCTGACAAAGCCTGCTCACTATCATATGAGAAGATGATGGACCAAACAGTGGTAAGTGGGCAAGAGGAGACACCTACGATGACAAGGCAATCTTTCCACTTCAACAAAACTAGAATCCTCCTCTTAATAGCAAAAGTAAAACATTTTGGGGATATTGATTATACCTCAATCCACTATACTTTGGGAACTGGAGAAGTAAGCGGCTAGCATTTGATGAACTTGTTGGGAAAACAACTTGCACTTATTATTTTTGTACAGGAAACTCAATAGTCGGATGGATTAAAACTTTATGGCTTTTGCTTTACAACTAATCTCTTGAACATCACGACCGTATATCTTCTCTAGTTGTCAGAAAACTTCTCTTGTATATAAATAGAGAAAATTTTGCTCTATTTCTGATAGGATAGGGATAAGGCAGAGCTATATATGAAGAGAAGATTGGACATGGAAGATGACACATCCAATGCCACCATTGACGACAATGGTATGTTTTTTTATTTCAGTTTTTTCTTTACCATTCATCCCCATTTCATACACAAACATATACATAGACAAACAACACCACTTTGAATCATGGCCTGCAGGAAAGCAAAGATTTAGAAAGTTTCCACCTGCACACTATACTTTTGAGATTGAGTCATTCTCTTCGCTTTTAGAGACTAAGGTGGAAAAGTATGAAACTAAAGATTTTGAAGCTGGTGGCTACCAGTGGTTTGTTCTGATAGATCATAACTCATCTTCCATCTCAATTTATTTTTAAAAAATTTATCATGTTTGTTAATTCTGTCTGTGCATTCAAATTTATTGTTTTTAAGGAGAATGGTCCTCCACCCAAATGGAAAAAGTAAGAAGGAAGATGGCAGCCGTCAGATATCTTTATTATTGGCAATCACAGAACCTGCCGATGCTTCTCTTGGTTGGGAGGTTACCGTTACTGCTACTTTCTCTGTGTTCGACGGAATTCGGGACAGATATTTGGTTGTTCAAGGTATAAAACAAGGATAAAGTGTGCCAGTGTGTTGTAATTTACCAATTCAAATTTAGTTAACACACTACTTCTTTGTGCTCAGATTCTGATAAAATATACTGGCGCTTTCAAAAGTTTAAGGCCGAATGGGGTTTTGATGATTTTCTTTCCCATCAAGCTTTGCATGACCTATCCCACGGCTTCCTGGTTGATGATCGAATCATTTTGGGAGCGGAGGTTTTTGTTTTCGAAATCTCTGGTGTAGGAGAGAGTCTTTCATTCGTCAAAGAACCTAAGCTTTGTCTGTACACGTGGAAGATTGATAACTTTTCAGCTTTGGATAAGCATCCTTGCTTCTCTGATGTGTTCATTGTTGAAGGAAGAAATTGGTATGTATAGATTTTCTGTACTGTTAAGCAATCTTATATTGCTCAACTCATTTTCCTTCAACTCAAATTTTATACTGAATTCATCAGGAAGCTGAAACTTTATCCCAAGGGAGAATCAAATGCATCAGGGACACACCTCTCTCTCTTTCTCTGTTTAGATAAGTCGGAAACTCTTCAAAACAGCAGAAAACTGTATGCAAAATGGTTGCTTAGAATAAAGGACCACACAAACCGCAATGACTACGAAAAAGAAGGTTTATTGATGCACATACTTTTTAAGAAATTTTAATTCTAACGAGGCTATTACACTTTTGTGTTCCTAAAATTAACATCAATTTTATTGTTCTTTTGTACCAGTAGAATATTGGTTTCATACCCCAGCTGGCAAAGGGTTGGGTTTCAGTGAGTTCATGCTGCTAAGTACTCTCAAGGATCCATCCATGGGCTATCTGGTGAATGACTCTGTGATAATCGAAGCAGAGTTTAATCTCCTTTCCGTGGTAAAAGATTTCTCTTAAAGAAAAAATACAGGGGAGCGATCTTCATCGACTGTAACCATTTTGTTTCTAGTCTTGGTCTACTGGAAAAATTCCGAGTTTTAATTATTTAATGTTTTAGTGTTTGCATGATTTCTTGTTCAAAATGTGTTTCTAATTTAAAACTTCTAGTCGTCTGAATGTTTGTGAAACATTTATCCTGATGGCTTGTTCTAAGTTCTTCCTTTTCCAACTGACGCTTCGCGTTAAGTATGATCATTTAACAATTTTCGATTTTATTGTTTGACACGAAATTGCTCTTAATACATCCGAATGGATGAATGTATGTATGTATACACACACACACATACACATAGATTCACAATTTTAGGCTACAGAAACATCTGCAGCTCCTGCAACATTGCTGATCAACTCTGAAATGAACAAACTGGAGCAGAAGATAGGTTTTGATATTTTCAAACTATTATATATACCTCCGGATGAATGTAAGTATGTGTGTTTCACTTTGAAGATTCAGAGCTTAAACTAGGAATTTTTAAGCAGCATGAAAAAATCAATCAAATTTAGGCCATATTTAATGTCTGACGTGATTTTAAGAATATGAGCTTGCATGCATTATTTGTCCAATTTTTAAGACATTAAAGGAATTCCCAATTAACTGAGGGCAAGTTTGCCTGTTCTGAAACTAGAAATTTTCTGATGATTGTAAGAGGCAACGATATCACCATCCACACCTGCCAGAAACGTGAGATTTATGATAAATCTTGCTCACTAGCATATGAGAAAATGACAAGATCATAGGATGATATACAAGGCAATCTTCCCACTCAACCAAAATTTATTAGAACAACCTTTAGGATAATAACTTACCTTAATTTCTTAGCCAACAATTATAGGGACATTATTTATAGCTCAATCCACCATGTATGATGCGAGACTGGAGCAGAAATTCTAGAATTTGAGAATCTTGTTGCGAAAACATGCTTAGAACAGTATTGTTCTTATGGAACTTGGATTCATAAAGAATTTGACACGAAATTGCTCGTAATACATTCATTAAATAGTGTCCAAATTGATACTAACATAATCCATGAAGAAATTAATTAGAAAAAGATTAAATATGAAAAAGACTGAATTGAATATAGGAAAGAAAATGGAGACCAAAAAAGGGTTTGTGCATGTGTCTGCAAGGGGCGTGAATTACTACATAAGAAAGGTCTTTTCTGATTTGTTTTGCTGCCGAGTTGTATATATTAAAACTTTAGGCCCTTTTTCTTTTTTTAACAACTAAACTCTTAGAACATCACAACCGTATAAATTCTCTAGTTTTTAGAAAATTTTACTCTTATTTTTTTTAGGAAAGGGATTATTAAGTCTGAGCTACGAAAAGGGACCCTTCCAATACCACCATTGACATAAATGGCATGTTTGTTTGAGTTCTCAGTTTTTCTTTTGCCATTGATCTCTCTTTCACCCACATTAACACACATTGAAAAGACAACCTGGAATGACATTTATTACAGAATTCATGCTGTTACTTTTATTCATCGTGGCTTGCAGGAAAGCAAAGATTTAGAAAGCTTGCACCAGCA